GCAAAGCCAGGAGTAACTCCTGAATATTGCCAGGTGTAGCCCAAAAACAAACAAAAAAAGATTCCATGATTTTGATTGTCAGCTCTAGGCTTCCTTAAAACCCTGGGGAATTCTCACCATTTACCTAGCCTCCTCTGTCAAATGAAATCAGTACTCACATTATGAGTATTACATTTTACATTTTTCTTTTACATAGTCAGTATCCATATTACATTTTCTGATTCAACGAGGCAGGATGTAGCAATGTCATCATAAAGTTCTCTGAGAAACAAAAGTAGTGCCTAATTTAGATCCTAAATGCTGGGCAGCGGATTGATTTCACCTTAACCTCCAGTTATAATCTGGTCAAACACAGAGGTGTAGAATGTTGTCCTTGGAAACACCTTAGAGGACGTTTAAGCCCACCCCTTTGTTGTACATCAGTGAAAATGAGAGAGCAAAGAAGCCATATTTATCCCTCTGAATCACCTGGTCTAACCATGCTGGAACCCAGGTCCAGCGCTGCTGGATCCCAACATCCTGATTCAGGATACTAAAAGATACTAAAAGTGATGGAAATTTTGCCCCCTACTGAGGATCCGGAGACCTGAGAAAGGACATACCTTAAGGATCTGGGCTCTGGGGTGTGGTCCCTGGGAACTGAGCATGAAGTTTCTCTGGTTCAGACAGACTTCTGGGAGCCAGCAAGACAGTGTGGTAAGTAAGTAGCTTGCCTTGCATGCAACTGAGCTGGGTTCCATCTCCTTCACCCAGCACCACCAGGAGTGATTCTGAGCACAGAGCCAAGAGTAAGCCCTGAGCGCCGTTGGGTGTGGCCCATCCCTGCTCCCCCTCTCCCCCCACCCCAAAATGACTTCCAGCCAGACTCTGAGAAGAGCCCAGGACTCCATGGGTTTTCAGCGCCCTGGACTGGCCTCAGACCACAGGTCTCCCTGGAATTGTTGTGAAGACTGATGAGGTCACCCTCATAAAGCTCTGCTGGCTCGGCTGATGAAAGCCACAACTGTGTCTAGGATCAAGAGAGCCAGAAACACAGCCTCACTCCTCTGTCCTACGTGAAGTTGATGCAGCTCAACTTCATCTAATTAAAACCTTACTGTCCTTTTGTCTGGGTGAGCTAAGTGTCATCAGGTAAGTATTCATCTCCCTCCCCCGTGGGTTATTCTTCACCTCATAGAGTTAAAGTTCACTTATTCTAGCCCTTTGAGTTCCAAAGAACATAAGTCCTTGACCAACTACTTAAGTCCTTAGCCCTTTGGTCTTCCTATTTACTGTAGGAGGATAATAACAGGGCTGCCGGGCTGATCAAATAAGTCAGTGTAGAACCAGGCCTGGTACATGGAAAGGGTAAATTTCTACTACTATCAGGGTTACCCATTGAAAGTCTATGCATACATGCTTTCTATTTAAAAAAAAATGGATGAGCTCTTTTTGTAGGGCTGCAGGATTGAGTTTCTTTGTTTCTAAGGAAACACATGGGAGATTTCTACATAAATAATGATCTTCTGGCCTTTGAAGATATAAACATGACCACGCAGGCAAGCTGGGCCGCTCAGACCCTCAGATCTCTTAAGTTTACTCATTAAAAATTTGCTCCCTCAGCAGATCTGTTTACCATTGCCTCCCCAGCTTACAGGCGCTCAATCAATACGGGCTAATGAACAAATTCACCTATGAATTTAGCCAAGACAGAGACTTGGAGATTCAGTCCCAGGGAGCATGTCTGACCGACCCTGAATTTTACAGAAGAGAGAAACTTCTGAAATAAAGAGGAGGATTGTCTATGTGGGGACAGTGTAATATTGCCTGTAGATACAAATAAAATTACTGTGATAGCTATGCAGGTGGACAAGCTGCTTTAAGAACCACTGGGTTTGTTTTTGCTTTTAACACAGTTAGATCTCTTAAGGCAATGGAGCGGTATCTGTTTGACAAAGGTAGGTATTCTGCAATGATTTCCCATTTCTAAAAGGGATCATTCTAAGGAGTCACAAAGAACACCCTATTAGCACGTCTGTTGCCCTGAAAAGGAATCCTTCTTCTTTGTGCTCAGGGTGTTTCTCTGTTAATAATAGCTTCCTATGATGACCCTAAGTTTCACAGCTCTCTAAAAGGCAAAGCCACTCTTTGTGTTGGTCATTTTCCCCCTAGTCCTTACTCCTCCCCAATTGGGGCAATAGTAATGCCATCTTTACTAAATGCATCTTTATTCAACCAAAGGACAACTTTCTTTTTTTCCTTCTCCCCCTTCCGACCTCCCACCATATCATGTTTATTTTGGTTAAGAAAGTTTTCAATAAAATTCACAAACACTGGGACTGGAGAGATAGCTCGAGAGGCTGAGTGCATTCAAAGCATGCTCTGTATGCTTGAGGACCAGTTTAATGCCCAGTACCTCATGGTTCCCAGAACACCTCTGGGAGTACTGAGCTGGGAATAGAACCCTGCTGTTTTGCTGGATTTGGCCCCCAAGTGAAAACAAATTCACAAGCACTGTCATACCCATTTTGCATAAAATGCCCTGCAAAGTTGCAAGCAAGATGAAATCAGTGCTTGGTTTCTGATCTTGAGAAGTTTGTATTAGCTTAAAGATGAGAATGATGATGGGGAAACTGTATAAATATCTCTGACCAACCTTGACCAGGCAACCGAACCTCTGGAATTCTCCAATCCTGCTTCTAGAACTGAACTATACTAACAATGACTATTTCACAGAATTGAGGTGAGAGCTAAGGTATTGATTACAGGAGCCTGCTTTGTGAACTATTGTCCGTGTTAATTTTATTATCCCCTAAGTGATCTAACACATGAGAAATATTACATTAATATTTGTTAAACTATCAATGAGCTGTATTATTCTTTCATCTCACTTAAATTCTTCTCTTAGCCCAGGACATTGAGTTAGCTTGGTTAAATAAACCCAATAAGGGCCGAAGATCATTGTCCTCCCGTTGTTCATCGATTTGCTCAAGTGGGCCCAGTAACGTCTCTATCACGAGACTTGTTGTTACAGTGTTTGGCATATCTAATATGTCACGGGTAGCTTGCCAGGCTCTGCCGTGCGGGCGAGATACTCTCGGTAGCTTGCCGGGCTCTCCAAGAGGGGCAGAGGAATCGAACTCGGGTCGGCCATGTTGGCCGCTTGTAAGGCAAATGCCCTACCACTGTGCTATCTCCAGCCCAAGGGCAGAAGATACAGTACCATAAATGGGGCATTTGCCTTGCATGCAGCTGCCCTGGTTTCATTCCCTCTATGGTTCCCTAAGCCCTAGCCTAGTCTAGGAGTAGGTCCTGAGCACTGCCAGGTATGTCCCCCCAACAACAACAAACAAAAAAACTCACTAAGTATTAGCTATAACATCTATCCATTGTCCCTGAACATTGAGTGACTACTATGGGCTACAGGCGCCACCAGAGGCAGACCCTGTCATAAGCGGGGGAAAGACATACTTGTCATTGCCTTACAGTGGACAAAGTGTTCTGGCAGAGATAACAGGGTGCCTGGGTGACAGGAGGGGAGGCACCCATGTGATAGCTCTGACAGTTCTGGGAGTCAGGGGTGTTCAGGAAAGGCGTCCTGGAGGAAGTGAAGAGACCAGACTGCTGAGTTAGTAAGCCAGGGGCACACAAGGCGGCTCCGAGCAAGGACAGAGCTTTGGGAAGGCATGGCCACTGGGGAAACAGGGAAACCGGTTTCAGATGCTGGACACGTCTGATTTGTTTCATTTGGAGGGAATGGAGCGGCATTAAAATGGATGAGCCCCCTTAGAGGGCATCTTTTAGGCGGAGATCATCGTAAGTAAGAAGCATCTCTTGGTTCAGGTCGAAATTAACCCAGGCTTGGAGTTTCAGCTCGGAGGAGATTGGAGTTTCAGCTAGGAGTTTCAGCTCCCCCGCCACCATTTATTTTGTCCTCTCCAGGCAGCAACCCCGGGCCCTGAAGGAGGTTTCGAGCACCGAGCAATAGGAGCACTAAACAGGATTCATTATTTTGTCATTTTTCCCTCTCACCCCAGTCAGGATCCATCTTCCCTGCCTAACCCGGGCATGAAACGACGGTTAGGCCGCTCTCGCTTCCGTCCGGGTCGGGTCCTGGGCCCGCACCGGGAGCGCGAGCACATCCTCCCGGGCGCGGCCCCGCTCACCCCCAAGTGCTGATTAAGCCCCGGCGGCCGGGCTGCGGGCGCGGAGCCAGGCCGCGCGTGCGCAGTGGGCCGGGCGGCGCGCGGGGCGGCGAGCGCGGCGGGGCCGGAGCGGCGCGAGCGCGCATGCTCCCCGCCCGCATCTGCTCACTCCAGCCGGTGCCGCAGCCGGAAAACCGCAGCGGCGGCGGCGGCAGCGGCGGTGGCGGCGGCCGAGGGGGAGCGACCGAGCGGGGCGGCCAGAGGCGGTCGGGGCGTGTGTGTGTGTGTGTCGGTCGGGGGGAAACACACGCCGCACCCGGGCCTCGCCGCTCGGGACGCGCCGGCCGCCGGCGGAGACGGCGACGGGAGGGCAGCCCCGAGGAGGGGCCTGCGAGCCGCAGTGATTTCTTGACGTTTTCCGCCGGCTCCTCCCGCGCCCCGCCGCCCGCCCGAGGAGGCGCGGGGTGTCCGAGCTCCGAGGGTCCGCCGCGCGGGGGAGGCCGGGGGTGTGCGGGCCATGCCGCCGGCGGGGACAGCCTCCCCAACGTGACCGTCGCGGGCTCCCCAGCCCCGGGCCGGCCGCCCCCACCCAGCCTGCGCTCCCCCCCCCCCCCCCCCCGCGCCGCCCGTGTGACGAGCCCGGAGACAAAGGGGAGGCGGCGGCGGCGGCGGCCTCACGCGCGCTCGCGGGCCCGCACATTCCTATGCCGGGCAGCGGCGGCGGCGGCGGCGGCGGCCCGCGCGGGGGGCGGCCGGGCAGCGGCGGGATCCGCTGAGCCGCGGCGGCCGGGCGGGCGGCCGGGCGGGCCTCGGGCCGGCCCCGACGGCGGGAGCCGCTCCCGGCGCTGCCCCGGACCCGCTCCTCTCCCACACGCACGCACTCTCACACACACACACACGCTCCCACGCACACCATGTGAAGGGGCGCGCCCCGAGCGACCGCGGAGCCGCCGGCAAGCATGGGGGACGCCGCGGAGCCCCGGGAGATGCGGAAGACGTTCATTGTCCCGGCCATCAAGCCCTTCGACCACTACGACTTCTCCAGGGCCAAAATCGCCTGCAATCTGGCCTGGCTGGTGGCCAAAGCCTTCGGGACAGGTAAGCGTGCGCTGTCGTCTCCCCCCACCCCCACCCCGGCTTTTGATGGGGGTGCGCGCGGCGGGGCGGGGGGGTCCGTGTATTCCCCGGCGTCCTCCCGGGCAGGTTGGGGGCGCCCGCTGGGGGAGACGAGACGGAGAAGAAAGGAGAAGCCCGAGCGTCGAGCGGCGGCGGGGTCAGGCTCCCGGTGCCCTTGAATGGTCAGGTGGGAGGGATTTGGTCAGTTTTCCTCCCCGACGAGCCACAGCGGTCCGTGCCTTTAAAAAAAAATTTTTTTTTTTAATTTAAAGGAGCGATTTTGTCTTCCCCACCCCACCCCTCCCACCGTGGGGTGGTTTTGGGGACGTGACGTTTCCCCCAGCCCACCCCCCGACTGTGCCACATCCATCGCCCCGGTCCTCATTGTGATCGCGCTTACATCTGGGTCGTTTTCCCTGAGTACTGGAAGACACGGATGGCAGGGTCCTTTATGGATTTTTTTTTTTTTGACTTTTGCGATGATGGCTGCTGTTCAGCGCCCCGGAATTGTCAGGGCGCCTCGTCGAAGTGCAGTCAATATTCGGGTTTTTTTTTTTTTTTTTTTGTGGTTGGCTATCTTGACGCCCGTACCTGCCTCTCCTGCACATTTCAGGCTCCGATCAGTTACTAAAAAAAAAAAGCAAAGCAAAGAAAAAAGGTCAGCATGAGTTGAGGGAGGGTCCTCAGTAGGGTGCTATTTTCATCTTGTGTCATCAGTGAGGCGTCCTCCCCTCTTGAAGTGTCGCCTGGCTTCATAAATTAAAAATAAAAACTTAGGAATTTTTTTTAATAGTTTTTTTTTTTTTTGAGGGCTTTGGCCGCTGACATAAATTGTGTAGCGCTGAAGCAATTAAACGCTCCTTCCCTTGCCCTGTCTCTGTAAAATAACAGGAAAAGGGCCTCCTGTTCTAATTCTTTAGCTGTTGCTTTAGGAGCCCATGTTGTGCAAGGATGAAATGAGCTTATCCTTTGAAGATGCTCCTGTAAGGTTGTTTGGCTGATAACCTTTAATTCTGTAAGATTATGGTGTCCCAGTTAATAAAATTTGGATTATGTGAAATATTTGTTGAATAGTTTCCCAATATTTACCGACTTTTCTTTTGGTGTTAAATGTGATTTGGGGGAGGGGGAAGGGAGATGGCTTATTTCCAAATTTAGGACTAAAAATATGTGGGTAAATGGTTTAATTCAGCTTTATTGGTTAAGCGCACAGCTAAATGTTTTCAGAGCTCTGCTTACAGCTTAACAAGCAAATGGATCTCTAGACAGTTATTTGAATTGTCTACAACTGATTCAGTTCTACAACTGACATCAGGAAGAAATAAAAATTAAAAACTGATTTTGAAATAGTGTCAATTTTAAAGATTTCTCTGGAACCAGTGTCTAGTAACACAGGAAGCAAAGAGTAAACCATAAAAAGCACAAATAAAATATATTTTTCTGGCATTTCTGAAATCAGGTGAGAAAAAGGTAGCTGTCTCTTGGTTTTAACTTGTGCAACATACTGAATCTAGTTTTCATTTAGCGTTGGAATCAGCATTTATAAAAGGTGGAAAGGGGAAAATTTTATATGATGAATTGTATTGATATGTGTAGAAAATGGAAGTTGGAAGTAGCAAAATTATTTTCTTTTCCTCTAAATCCAGGAGGATACTGCACATATCAAAATGTTGTCCTGGATTCACAAAGGCTACTCACAGAAAATGGCCTACTTTCTGGATATATGTCAAGCAGTGTTACTAGATTCTGGGCCACGCAGGGACACATTTTGAACACGCCTTGAGAAAGGTGAAGGAATCTAGATCAGTGGACTCTGTCATGTGCCAGGCACTGCTAGATGCTTTGCATCAAGCTGTGTGTTCAGGATTCATACCCACCTTGTGATACAGGTAGAGTCTTCTCATTTTAAGGGAAATGGGAGCCATCTGAGAGAGGTTAGACTACTCTTCTGTTGCAGCTACATAAGGGTTTTGGTGTGAGTCTTATGGGTCACATGTGCATTTTATACCCAACGTTTTAAAATGTACTGCTCCACTTTTTCTTAAAGGGACCTTCTAGATATTGTTCTTATTTTGCAGTTGAGGGAGCCAACTCAGATGAATTTGCTTAAAAATCAAACATCTGAAGTAGGGGCTGGAGCGATAGCACATCAGGTAGGGTGTTTGTCTTGCACGTGGCCAACCCGGGTTAGATTCCCAGCATCCCATATGGTCCCCTGAGCAATGCAAGGGGTATTTCCTGAGTGCAGAGCCAGGAGTAACCCCTGTGTGTGTGTGCATCGCTGGGTGTGACCCAAAAAAAAGCAAAAAAACCAAACAAACATCTGAAGTAGACTCTGATGGTAGAATTGGTGCTGGAACATAGTGTGTCTAAAACCTAATTATGAATTAACTTTGTAAATCATAGAGGTTTAATAAAATTTGGGGAAAAGAAGATTAAACATCTGGCAGGTTGTGGCATCTGTCAGTCAGCTTAGGTCTTTGTGGCTCCAACATCTGCATTTCACACCCTTTGTACAGTAATCCTTTTTATCTGCAAGTGTGGAGAATATGCAAGTAGTAGATGTTAAATCTTTTTAATTTCCCTTGAAAAAGTAGGCAGGAAAGTTTGAATACTTAGTTGCTTTTGCCTTGGCAACAGTTGGAATGGATGAAAAGATCATATATAAAATGAAATTTTAAACACTTTTAGAAGACCTTTCAGAGAGTCACTTAGTAACAAGAATTAACACCTTAAGAATGTTAACTTTCTACATTTTATTTATTCTTTCTTTGTTTTGCTTTGGGGGCAGTGATGTTCAGAAGTTCCTCCTGGCTCTGCATTCAGGAATTACTTTTGTTGGGGTTGGGGGGGGGGGTGCGGGACACTGAATAGGAGGGTTGCCAGGTATCGAACCTGGGTCAGTCATGTGTAAGGCAAGTGCCTTACCCACTGTACTATCACTGCAACCACTAACATTTTGTTTACTCTTTAATCTTTCTAAGTATAAATTTTGGAAGGAGGGGCTTCTCCTAGGCTGCTGTTTAGGGGACCACCTGGATCCTTTCTCAGTGATAATCAACTTGTTGCTGCTTGGGTCCAGTGCTTGGTGCTACCCGTGTGCCAAAGTCTGCCAGGAATCAAACATAGAGCTGGAGGGAATTCTGAATGCCAGACATGTGCCCCTTTTCCCCTTGATTCTTTTTCACTTCAGATATCATTCAGCATATATCATTTGTTGCAGACCACTGTTGTGCAGCATATAGACAACTTATTTAAATGCATTAAGAATATTCAATTAAGGGGGTATGGTGCCGCCAGCAGGTCAGTCTGTACCTGTGAGGCGAGTACATCAGCAGCCTCATGGCGCCTTCAGACTTCCAGATACCCGAAAATTGCTGCTGTTCCTTTGGCCAGACCCCAAAAACTTGGGGCAGAGTTTACCAAGAAAGTAAACGACCAAAAGTTAGGTATGTGGGAAACACACCCACAAACCACCTCCGGCTCAGCTATATAATTGGAGGCATGGCCTCTCTGGTTCCTGATTGAACTGTTTAATGGCTATGATCCCAGAGACTCAGAAACAAATCTTGAAACCCAGCGGCTTTTGGCAGAAAGGCATCCAGTCTCTGCAGTAGGTTACCGGTGCTGGGCCAACCCAGATGGGGATAGGTTTCGTGTTTTGGCCTGTTCCCCCCAGCGGCCCAGTGGCCACCATCCTTCAGAGGCCACTGGACAGTCAGGTTTGGACCCCCAGTGATGAGACATGCAGGGCCTGTCCTCCCCGTCCCAACGAGACCCGAAGTCATCACCCATGAACGGCCTCCTGATCAAGCTGCTTAATGGCCATGATCCCAGAGACTCATAAACAAATCTCAAAACCTAGTGGCTTTTGGCAGAAATGCATCCGGACCCCACAGTACGTTACTGTCTCTGGGCCACCCCAAGTTGGAAAGGGTGTTGTCCCTCTGCCTGCTCCCCCTTGGCAGCTCGGTGGCCGTCATCCTCCAGGGGCCCTTGGACAGTCAGGCTTGGGCCCGCAGTGACAAAACTTGTTGGGCCTCACGGGATGGGGAGCGGGGGGTGGGTGGGGGGAGCCAGGCCTGTCCTCCCCACCCTAACGATACCCCCAAGTCATCACCCACCAATGGCCTCTCTGGCTCCTGATTAAGCTGCTTAACGGCCTTGATCCCAGAGACTCAAAAACAAATCTCGAAACCCAGCAGCTTTTGGCAGAAATGCATCTGGACCCTGCAGTAGGTTACTGTCGCTGGGCCACCCCAGGGGGGGAAAGGGTGTTGTCCCTCCGCCTGCTCCCCCTTGGCTCGGTGGCCATCATCCTCCAGAGGCCATTGGACAGTCAGATCTGGGCCCGCAGTGACGTAACTTAATGGGCCTCGCAGGATGGAGGAGCCGGTCCTGGTCTCCCCGTCCCAACGAGACCCCAAGTCATTGGCCACGAGTGGCCTTTCTGGCTCCTGATCAAGCTGCTCAACAGCCATGATCCCAGAGACTCAGGAGCAAATCTTGAAACCCAGTGGCTTTTGGCAGAAATCCCTCCAGATTTAAGTGTTAAAATTTCGGAATTTCAAAATCACATGGCCCTACTGTAGCCACGCATCATCATATGTTATTCATAACCAGCAATAGAACACAAGTTGTCTACTGTTGCCTTTTTAGCAGATCTGAGTGTTGGGGTAAAAATCACAAATAATAATGGTGGGTCTGGTGTCGAAATATTGAATGTGATCAAAGTAGAGAGAGAATAATGTGGAAAACATCTGCCCCACAGGTAGGGGGAGGGTGTGGGATGGGGGTATACTGGGGGTTTTGGTGGTGGAGAATGGGCACTGGTGAAGGTACTGGTGTTTCATTGTATGACCGAGACTTAGACCCGAAAGCTCTGTAACTGTTCTCATGGTGATTCAATAAATAAAATTATATATATATGTATATATATATATATAAAGAATATTCAGTTAATCCTCAAAAACAGACCAACT